CGATCAGTAGTCAAAGTTGGGGACACTAAGGTCGACGTTGAAGAAGGGAAGAACGCTGGTTGTTGGACGATCGCAGTGTTAACTGGGACACAGAGCAGGGAGTTTATTGCAGAGGGTAAACCGGATTTTATCATCAATAGCATTGCTGATTTACCTGATCTATTGTCAGGGACATTCCATATATGATCTCGAACAACTTTGTTGAACAATTCGAATCACCGTGTTTTTGAAATTTGGAATAAAAACGAAACGATGCCTTTCGCATTATGCCGTTGTTTGTTACAGTGATCACCCGTGTGAGCCAAAGTTTCGCCTAGTTAGGAATGCTGTTTCTCACGCAGAGCTTGTTTCAGCGGATTTCTATCATTTTACAACGACAACACATGACATACAAACGTAACAGAAGGGGAAGTTAAGCCCTGACTCACTCATAATTCTGTAGAGATACCACCCTTGATTAACTCTCGTGCGATTTTGAGTAAGCATCCAATTAATCAAACATTAATCGCTGAGGGTTTTCCTAACCCTAACCCTTAGACTAAAACATTGGTGGTCATTGATATTTGATGGAAGGCGGCCAGCAACATCCAGCCTTTCAAGACAGAGAATTCTAGCAATGTTTTCAAGTACGTGTGTAGGCTAAATAAAAAAAAAAAAACTGCACGTTCACAGCTTGCGCAAAAAATGTAGTGTACGGACTTCCTTTAATACTTCAATATATTGGCTTCTAGACATAAAATAGCGCTACACCGTTGGGAGATTAATTAGTTGAGCTCGGCTAAGCTAAACAGTAGGCACCAAGGATCTGAGCTATGATATAGTTCCTCTATATTATAGCTACGTACTTAATTCTTGAGTTCGTTTATTTAGGTGCCACTGCTGGAGAAAATGCCACTACTACTTCAAACCACTAAACGAACAAATAGTGAAAGGGTTGAGGGTTTACATATCCCATTGACCTTTGTTACTCGGCATACTTGCAATACTTAATTCGATAAAGCTAATACAAACAAACCTACATGAATCGCTAATGATGAACACGTGAAGAAAGAAGGTCCAATATAACAAGCTGGGGGAACTGAGACAAAAAGAACACAAAACTTCGATTGGATCTTTCATGGTGCACACACTGACTACCCCTGAAAGAATCTTTAGCTAGGGATACCAACTGCTTGAAGGTTAGTCCCCACAGTAGAGCCTACTCTAAGAAAATTCAAATACAAACGCTTCATCCAATCACCAAAACATCTCAGTGAAAATTGGAAACCCTTTATGTGAACTGACCCCGAGAAAACCCTTGGGCAGTCATGAAATTTAAACCATATAAATAAATGAAACATCAAGAAACTATTATGTACAAATCCTAAGACAGAAAAATATCTCACAAAAATAGGTCTAACAAAAATGATTGAAAAATACCTACTTAGGTTTGCCAAAAACTAGTACTTAAATATTTCCATAAATTTAGGCAAACGGAGAGGAAAGTCCAAATCTTGCTGTTTAAATCGATCAGCCGTTTTGGTTAACAGGGTCTTAGATCTTTCCATAAATAGTCCAATGGAGGTAGGAAAACTGATGAGACCACTCTTCAGTAGAGCTAAGAGCACTGTATTTCATTCGGCCACATTTTCTCATTAGTTATTGTAAACGTGAGGATCTTGTAATGATCTAGGTTACTAGATTTTGGGTCTCCAACCTACTTTTCAATGATCAGTGAAAGGAGTGAAAATTGTTAGTTCTACCATGCAGAAAAAAAAAAAAGAGACAATGAGAGACCATGTTAGAACAACAATGACTGGGGATGAAGAGGACTGAGACGGATTACGGCAAAAAAAAAAAAAGATTAGGGAAATTTTAAGGATCCCTGATCGAGACATATTTAGCTGCTTTTAAGTGCTGCTAAAGGATCTTTACATAACGTCAGACATACCATTCACTTACAGCTTCCTGTTCTCATTCTCGACGAATTTTAAGGTAATTTTTCCTCTGGTAGATACTTTTGATGTATAGACCAATCTTTCAACAACGGTAAGCTGTGGAACTGGCGTTTTTGCTGAGAATACTCAAAGCTGACATTTCCTCAAAATCTATGGCTGAACTTACTCTTCCTGTCGCCTGTTGTGATTCCTTGGCGCGTGCAGCTAGCGCGAGAATAGTTAAAATAACCGCGCTTCTCGCGGGAGACCNTATCACCAAAAACATGCAGGGTGGGGCATGTGATGGGTTCTGTGTAGTATAAGCTGTGTCCTGAAGATCTTGACTTGAACGCGGCCACAAGAATGGCAAATTTAAAACTCAAAGAACCTACAGCACAATGAACAAGGCATTCTATTAAATTTTATGTCCTGGACAAGGGCATGGTAATTTAAATTTCAGAATATTTCAGACATCATCCAAGAAAAGAGGAACAAAAATGACCAGAGGAATAAGCATTACTGGAATGAGTGGACAAATTAGATCTGTACTCAATTGAGCAGTGATAATAGCAGTTCATAATGGCCACAACAATATCATGATAGACCACCTGCACAGAGTTACATGTATTATATACAAGCAAACAGACATACCTTGTTCTCTTAATGCACAGAGGATTGATAGGAAACATGCACCTTGACTAAACCCAAGAACACCTATTTTTTAAATTTAACATACATGCATGGACAGTTAAATAAGAACCTGTAAAAATTCCCAGCCAGTGAAATTTCCATTTAATCTTATATTTATTTTTACAAAAAAAGGTTCTATCAGGCTGTTGAATCACAATTTACCCCTAAATATTTAGATAGAAGATAGTAATAACTTTTTAATATAATAATTTTATTACTTATATCGCGCCAATTGACATTAAAATGCATGCATCAAATGCATGTCACAACGAAATCTAACTTACATATTCATACGAATAAGACAACACTACCCTCTGGATAAACTGCTACAATTCCCATGGAATATATAATTTAAAACCCATCAAACATGATAAGCAATGTTTATACCACTTGCATGTATCAGTTGGATAGTGTTTAATCCCATGGATGGTCATAATCCAATCTTGAAACAAGCATGTATGGTTGATGGAGAAAAAGATCAAGGCATATTGTTACAAGCATATCACCTTACCATGCTGTCTGCTTCTTATGGCAATTAATGGACAATTATTTACTTTATTACATCCATTTTCAAATCACTGTTGGTCCCTGTAATCTGATTGGCTCTAATTGGTGCAATTTATTCATGAATCCCACCATTTTTGCTCTAAATCACATCATTTTATGTTTGACTGAGTTTTTGATGCATGATGTCAGTCTTTCTGTTTTGCATACAAAATAAGATGTAAAAGCATTTCCGGTTCCACTTTTTATTTAAAAACCAGCTACGTACTGCATTCAATAAAATATTTAAATTGACCAAGTCCTGTTTTTGGGCGATTTTAAAATGGATGTAATAAAGTGCTAATTGAACCTCTTGTCGTGCAATTTTGGTCTGAAATCATACTTATGATTTCAAATCCAACTCGCGCTATGTGCTTGTTTGATTTTGAAATCCCACGTATGATTTCAGCCCAAATTGCACTCCACTCAGTTCAATTACCATTATAAATAGCAGTTTGTTTTTCATTTATGCCCTTTGAACTACAAAGACAGGCTTGACTAATTGGTAGTTAACTGATTGAAATTATCAATTATGAAAATTAAAAGTACTTTCCCTATTTTTCAATACAAAAAAACACTCCTCAAAGTATCTAGCTGGATGGTTCCCCATAAGCACTACTAAATTAAATGCTCCTTAAAGAAGAGATTACATACCATCAAATGGCCCCTGAAAAGGAACATTGAACAGTAGATGTCAAAACAAAGATAACAATAAAATTTAACAACCAAGGAAAAGAAACTGCAAATAATTCTTAAAATATTTTCATTGACATACAAACTCTGTACAAAAGAAATACTGTTGGTTACTGTAAATTTAAAAGGGTACTTAAAAGGAAACTATTCAACAAAACTTATAAATAAACATCCATACTATCCACAGTAATCAGAAATTCTTGTGAAAAATCATCTTTGTTTCCTCTTCCTCTTTCTCTTTCTTGCCCACAAGCTTCGATGATTGCTGGAAGAACAGAGACACAGAGAGGGTACTACAACATGATTCATTACCTGGTTTGTGAAGGTTGCCTTGACTAGTTCAATAGATTCATCAAAACCTTTTGAGACATCAGAAGAACTGAGAGGGTCATATGTGTTATCTTCTGCTGAAAACCACCAACCATATTCATCTAATTGAAATGACACAACAATGAGCTGATCAGTTACATAGCAAATTCCTATGCCTATACAAATAAATCAATCAATCTGTAAATCACCAAATGGTTAATAAAAAATTAAAACTAGCCAGTCAATCAAGTGATCAAATAAAAGCAAGGCCAGCCAACCAGCAAGCTACTAGTACTGAATGGCTTACCAGTCTATTTTAGCTACCCTACATGTGTAACTATAATGCTTTCGAATACCTTCATTTGAAGAAGCAACATCACCACTATTTTCTGCTGGAATTTTATTTGGTGCAGTTATGTACACTGTTATAAGGACAAGAAAATAAAACAAAATAAATACCATAATTAAAATACAAAAAAGATTGATATTCGATCGACGGACTGGGAAAACAACACGCCCAAGATAAAAATATATACNGATCTTTACATTACGTCAGACATACCATTCACTTACAACTTCCTGTTCTCATTCTCGACGAATTTTAAGGTAATTTTTCCTCTGGTAGATACTTTTGATGTATAGACCAATCTTTCAACAACGGTAAGCTGTGGAACTGGCGTTTTTGCTGAGAATACTCAAAGCTGACATTTCCTCAAAATCTATGGCTGAACTTACTCTTCCTGTCGCCTGTTGTGATTCCTTGGCGCGTGCAGCTAGCGCGAGAATAGTTAAAATAACCGCGCTTCTCGCGGGAGACCGTGAGTTGTCGAACTCGGGATGTACCGAAATTGGTTAATCCTTGGGTATCCCCAAAATTTGCCAACACAGACACAAAAGAAAACAACAGCAAATTAAGGTTAAACAAAAAGACAAAAATGTTAAATAGAAAGGAAAGAAAATACTTAATTAAAAAAGGTCACCATATTATGGGATAAATTCTAAAAAAAATTAAGAACCTTAGCAACCAAGGTAAAATTCTATGATTCGATAAACAGATCAGATAACGAAGGTACGTCACTTTAAGATTAAATTAGATGAAACCACGTAAAGGAAACACTTGGAAAAAAGTATCTGAACTGCATTCGGGGATATTGTAGCCGAAAGGGGAACTGGACTGGCACCTCAGTTCTACAGTAACAAAGTGGCGCGCCGAAGGCTAAATCGGTATAATTATCTTTTCCATAAAAGAATTGTGAAAAGAAATTAGAGATTCTTGTCGATTTATTCAAAGCAGTTCGTAACGATCCCGGCGAAGATCTATGGACGAGTTTTGTTGATCGGTGATTAGAATTTAAGGCTTTTATTGATGTCAGTGATATTTATATCATTTGATATTGGTCCCTGATGATCTATCTGGACCTCCGGCGGCAAAGTGCATCATGAACACAACGTACCGTTTTCAAACCATGTAATAAGAAATTCATGGATTTTTTGCGAAGAAAAATGTTTCCTCAAGCCCAGGTCATTATAAAAACAAACGAGGTAAAATGTTTTCATAAAATATTGACATTCAACTTCTCACCTTTCCCACTACTTTTAATCACCTCTTGCCTGCAGTGCCTTCTCGAGGTAAATACAATTGACAATTATAATAGCTTCGAATGCAGAATTCATCCTTTAGGTTTGACAACTAGACCAGAAAATATCTTTTGTTGACCTTTGCCTAAGCAATAATTTTTAAAGCGCATTAGATGTAATGTGATGCAACTATTTTGAGAGAGTGCCAATTATTACCAAATCATGTCACGGTTGAATAGCGAAGTCACACGAACTGATATTAATTTCGAAAACCGCTAAGAAACATCAGTTATCATGAATATTAACTACAAAGAACACATGGATTAAGTTTTCTGACGAAGAAGGCAGAAAAGATAGACGACTACCGCTTTACCTAGAGTCCTTTCCGTCCGTGACATCAACTGGTTACATTATTTAAGTTACGCTTCGGCAAACACTGATGCACATGACCTTTTGCCGCTTGTCGTTCTAAATCAACGCGGAAACCTTGCGCTGTTACGCCATTTTGTCCTCAACCTGTAATTACGGTAAATTCTTTTCGATCATTCATCAATCTCCGATCAACTTGGAACAATCAGTCGATTACTGGCAGCTGGTAAGTGTACTCTCTCTTAGAGAACATTAGATTATTCTTCAACAACGTTAGTTAATTGAGTCAAGCAAGAGACGCTTTGTTTCTTTGTTTACTCGTATAAAGTTTTATGACCGCTTCTTTAAAGAACTTTGTTCCCACCTTCTCGTCGTTTATAACCGTTTAAAATACTCTTCGAAGTTTTCTGAGTTTGAATACAGGAAGGCAACGGAGTAAACATCGTTGTTCACAGGGAACAATACCAAACATTCAGAACATTTTCTGTCAAGGAAGTCGATCTGTCTGATGTAAAATATTTGACAGATTTGTTGGCTTGTGTCAGTAATTGAATTACTGCTTTAATCGATGTCATCGATAGCTGTTGGTGGAAAGTTTTGGTCGATTAAAGTCATCGCCATTACTAGAGCATCGATCTTGGTGAAAGTTCGGTCCAGAGTAGGTCTCTATTTACTGATGCATATTCATTCAGACTTGGACATTAGGAAAAGGTCAGTCTTAGTTTGTAGATCATTAAATGAGAAGGGTTCTCGCTGACCACTCTTCTTTGGAAAAAATTGAAAATTCGTAGTTGCTCTGGCGCGGCGGAGAAAAAAGACAGAAAACTTGGACAGAAGCATGTTAATGAGTAACTTTTTAGAAAGCAACATGAATGTTTGTCACACCACTTGGTAGCTGTTCAAGTTTATAAAGTTGTCTTTAAATTACAATTGAATTGTCAAATTGTCGTGGTTGTGTTATTCTGCGTGGCCAGTCATTTTGTGTTTACAAGTGAACTTCTTTCTGTAGTAGCAGCATCAGCAGTATAAGCTTTAGCACCCATTATTATCGTCTTCCTGGAAGAATGAAACTGAATAGAGACTTCTTTACAATTTTATTGTTAAAACCGAAGTTTAAGGGCACTAAAAACCGAAAAACTGATCTAAAAAATTGCGAAAACCACAAAAACGCGAAAATTCCAATGTCCCACTCTGTAAAGCGTGATGGAAACAGTTTCACCCTGACGATATGTAGCCAAGTCAAACTGACAGTGTAGGATATTCTAGGGCATATCTCTGACCGTTACGGTCAAGACTTGTTCGTACTTAAACTTTAATCAGTGAATAATAATCTAATCGGGCGGAATATGCAAACAAGCCAGACTTTAAACTGATACCAGATATCACATTTTAGAGAAGTTGAGGCTCATTTTGATCAAGACGTCAGGCAAAATTATACCATCTG